CATAAATGGGAACATCCACCTTTATTTTCATCTCCACATGTGTGTTTACCTGGAAAAAAAACAGATACAGAAAAATCTAAAAAAATTTTACATAATGTTTTCCTACTAAATCTTATGTTTTGGAAACACAAGTGCAATTGTGTCTGCATAATACATCTTTTTAGTTAATAGATATCCCAATATCATTTCTGAGTCTTTCAATTTGTGAAATGATTGCTTCACATGCATGCTATGATGGGAGTTAGTAATTCTTCATAATAAATCTCTACCCCAATTTTCCAATAGAAAGTTCTGTTAAGGAGATTGATATGAAATGGCATTTCTGGCCTGTATTTCTTATGATTATCCCTAATTCCAAGTCATATTGTTGTGTTTACAAAGTTTAACCTATCCAGAACAGCCACATTAACTGAGATAATATTTGACGTGCACATGAGGTGGCACAGGGAAGTGTCAACCTTATAAGAGGTAAAAGTTACTCACTGATAGTTTGTAAAGAAGGCATTATGGCCACCAAACTGTATAACTTTTGTCCAGTAGATAACATAGCTACCTCTTCCCATGATGGTACTTGTGTTTGTACATAGGTTGACTGAATGGAAGATGACCGAGAGATACCAAATATTGCTGTATTACCAATTACTACTAAACCATATACTGAATCACCATTACTAACTTTAGAAATATCCCTTTCTATTATAACATTGTTATTATCTAAATCAGTTGATAAAATCTCTTCCTTTCTCTCATCTACCCAGTATAACCTCCTGTAATAAATAATATAACAAAATAACCTTCTGTTATAGAAAATATAACAATATTACCTTCTGTTATAGACAATATAACAATATTACCTTCTGTTATAGACAATATAACAATATTACCTACTATAATAGAAAATATAACAATATAATCTTGTTTAAATGAAAAAAATATAATAAAAAAACGTTCTGTTATAGAAAATATAACAAAATAACCTTCTGTAAGAGAAAACATGACAAAATAACCTTCTTCAATGGAATGCTGTAGTTTCAACAGCGTTAAAAATTGTTACGTTTATGCTTTCAAATCCAGAAAGATTTTCTTACCTGGTAGCATAGCTTATTGCTAGTTGATTGGTCCATTGTAAACCATCAGGTACTAAAACTCGTCTTTCAGTACCATCTAGTGCTGATCTTTCTATTTTTCTTGTACCTTGATCAGCCCAAAATACATATCTGAAAGTATACAAGAGAATTTTTAAATAACTACCCCAGTTGCCAGACTGCGGACCACAGCTCCCTTCATCTTAATAATGTCAAACTTTGTCCTCATACCTTGACAGAAATAGCCACCTTTCTTGTTTCAAGAAATGCAGTGATTTGATTGGATGGTACAGAGCTCAGAGCTCTTTTAGTTGAGGGCCCTGATTGGCTATATATGCTAGCATACAATCCAATAAAATCCCTGTGTTTACAAACTTCTGTGATACAGGAAAGTTGGCTATTGTAGTCAAGGTATCATCACACTTCGTAATAGCTTGACATTTTGAAGATGAGCCATCTTTTGACATTAATGATATTGACAAATAAGTTTTTAAACTTGAGAATTTCTGCCATGTAAGAGAAATTTCTGACAATAAATATTTAAATCCAATGCTTTATCACCCACTGTTTTGATGAGGGAAAATATTAAATTTGAGAATCTAAGCTGTACTCCATTTTCGATGTTTTTTGGTTTGTTTAAGAAGCAGAGTTTTGATCATTTTCATAGTCAAGAAAGGAATGAAGATTTAAGTCCTACTTTGCACCATGCATGGTGCCATGACGTAAATTTTGCCGGGACAGCCGCGGGTTAGAGTTAGCTCCTTTCGATATCCATTTGTTAACGGATCTTTAACACAGCCTGTAGCATATAGGGGACTCAGTTTTTTTCCGATCCACACAACTAGATGCTTTTTCCATGACAGCCCCTCTTACCTAAAACATTGACAAGGGGAAAAATCCAAAGGCACTATCTCGACCTATACTGGAATTGAACCCTGGACATTCAAGTCAGTGAGCAAGCGTCTAACTCACTGAGCCACCACGGCTCCCTTTCATAATCAAGAAAGTTGGTTATTATTTACACTGTCTACTAGAACAAAAGATTATTGTCTAAGAAACAATAGAAAGGTATAAGAATGTAAATATGATACAGTGAGAGGTATAAATATTGTGTAAGGTTTATGATAAGCTGATAATGTCAACAATAACTGATGTATAATATGTATTGTCTACCATAATTACTGATAATCACTATTGTTTTTTATCTTCACAACAACCCGGTTTCAATAGTATTGTCTTCATATTAATAGTCTTATATTTTCTCTTAGAATTCTCTTGGGTGGTTAAGCAGATTAGATGCTTTCTCTCTAGTGTGGCTTAGCGGGTTAAATGCTTGCTCTCTAGGGTGGCTTAGAGGGTTAGATGCTCGTTCTCTATGGTAGCTTGAGGGTTGGATGCTTGAATTCTAACCTAGATGTTTGGGATTGGGTCTCAAAATCAGACAAGATGATATCTTCAAATTTTTCAATTCTGTCTCCAACAGTCAGGGACGCAGGTCTTAGGGACTGACATGGAAAAAGAATCCAGTCATTCAGATGGAACAATAAACCATGGTCCTGTGTGCAACTGGCTGTTAATCAACGCTTTATGGTTGAAAATAGAAAGATTATATTAATGCCTCTGTTCTTGCCAAATTTCCCCCATTACAAACTACATGGAGTTGCCTATTACTATTCAGCTAAAGATTGAGCTATTTCATTTTTCCAATGTTTCCTATATTCTAGACTATTAACTAAACCTACAACTCAACATTCCTGAATATTATAGAATTATTATTCTGTTAAAATGAATTATGACATCATAATATTCTATATAATCAATTGAACTTGCAGACAATGTGGAACCATTGGTATTCATAGCAGTCAATATTCATCTGACTTATTTTATTAGTAGGCTCTACAATCATAGTAGAAAAGTATCATACAAAATAACTTTGAAATTTCACAGGTCTTCAGTAATCGGTATCATCATGACCAAAGTATCCAGCCTTGTCCATTCCATTTTTCATTGTTTTGACCAAAATCATATGCTAGGTGGTCATTAGAAGACTAGAAACGGTTAGAAAACACACATTCTTCAGTTCTTTCAATAATATATCCTGTCTGTTTTTGAACTCATACGAGAGATCCAGGTTTGGATACAAAATCCAAGTCTATTGAGCAAATTTGAAGAGATTGAAGATGTTTATATTATACTGAAGAAAAAAACAGTACTAATTGACTAATACTAATGACATTGAAGTTCATTTTCAAAACTAACAAACGGTATTAGTAAATAGGAGAAGCTGAAGACAAGGTAAAAAGTATAAGAATGTGATGTTATCTTGAAGATCTGAAAGTTTTTGTAGAGTACCAGATAAAAGTTTGAATGACTGAAAGATAGAAGAAAACAGCTGTACATAGTCTACCATTAGAAGAAAACTGACTTAAACCAATATACTGAAAATCCACCTGAAAATATGGTATATAACCAGGTACACTACTACTTTCCAGATTAATATTCTGAAGAATTGCAATATGACCACCTTAATATTAAAGACAAGCTTTCAATGTTACCTTGTATTTATTGAAGCATTTTTGTGGGATACTTGTAGCATTATTTATTTATCTTACAATTTAAATTTCTTACTAAGGTTTTTATATATGCTTTTTAATCTAGGTTACAGTCAAACCTAGTTTTAAGCCATAAGGCTAGCTCAGGTTGCAATGCTTTTTGGCTTTGTAACCTACATTTTTATTGCATTGGTTTTCAATGCCATTTATTCTGTAGTCTAGGTTTCAAAACCCTAGTTTTTTTGTAGACTAAGGCTGCTTAGTTACTTTCTTTCAGATTTAGTTTTTGAAGCTGTTAAACTTGGTTTCAACCCCTCTCTTGCTTATAATGGAGCAATAGTGCAAAAAACTTTTGATAGAGCTTGACTGATAATATTCAACTGTTAATATACAGTTTTTGAGTTGATATCCTAGCTGATATTGATAGCTTCATTTTAAATTTGACAGAAAGTGAAATGTTCTGACAACCAGTGTATATATAAAACTGATGATAAATAAACACTGAATTGACATTGAACGATTTATTTATTTTCAAGCATTGACATCAAACACAGGTGAAAACATCAAACATTTTATATATTTATAAACAGGTTGCACATGAGTAGAGAATGAAAACTATTTCTTTAATATCTATTATAATTATAATATTATTATTTTATCTTTAATTAAGATTTCTTCTTATTAACTGTGTTTCTACTTAGCTAAAAAAAAAAATTGCTTAAAAGATGGGTTCCCTTATTTTCATTTATGAAAATGAAAATGCTATTACTTATGTGAATAGAAAGAAGAGGTGTTCTAATGACTTGGAAAAATACCAGTTTGTATCACATGTCTGTAATTAATTCATAATTAGCTAAATTAAAAGAGAATTACCAACAGAATTCCAATGAATGACCAATCAAGAAAGGTCAAAAGTCGTATTTTGTTTATCCAGACTGTACATACATGGACATTTATGATTGGTTAAAACTCTTAATTATATGCAAAAAAATCATAATGATATGACTAGGGAATAAATGATAATTAATTAGAAACACTAATTAATCAACTAGTTTGCTTAATTTGATACTAGAAAATAAGGAAACCCATCTTTAAGCTAATTAAAACTTGAATTTAAACCACATTTTTGAAAGTCATTTCTATGGTACATGTATCAAAGAACATGTATTAAACTGAGTTCAGCACATGGTCAATATGCCACTATAAATGAATATTGTCCATATGATATCAGTAACAGACATGTGATATTTGAACTGTAAACCATTTAATGTAATTTAAACAATGCTACATATGTACCAGTTTTTTTTATACAAATATTGCTGACATTTTAAACCCTTTTAATAAACCTCATCTGTTAACCATAGTTGATAATCTGTACATGTGGATACCAAGTGCAGAGCTAGCTATTAAGTTTCAGAAAGTATAAGAAAGGCACACAATTATACCCCACTGTTCATCAAGTTTGCACGTTTCACTCAAAATACCTAAGTGCAATTTTTTGAGAACTAAAAGCCAGATATTCAAATTTAACCGTTACTTCTGTATTGGCTGTCCACAAAACTAATCGATTAACAGAACAGTTTCAAAATGTACTTGATATTTCTGCAGTCAACTTTGGGGAATAAATATAGAATCACATTGCAACTAATTTGCTCAAATCTTCCCCTGCTGTTGTGTACAACCGTGCACTATTGTCACATTTTTTCAGTCCAAAACAAAAAATAAAGCTGGTCTTTTCATAAGATGAAAATGAAGATCAGACAAAATACACGATTCCTCTTGTAAGAATTAATGACAGATAAAGAAATGTAAAAATGTCAAACTCAGAAATCATGTAAGAATGACAAGCAGCTGATTATTACTGAAGATTTACTGTAAGAAGGTAAAAAAAGGTAATGACAGCTAATATACAATATTAGAAGATTCAGGAGAATATCAAGAGACTTGGTATAAAGAAAGATAAAAGACTATTAAAACCATTGTTAAGTCTTCTTCTCTCTTTACTTTTTTCTTCCTTTGTCGCAGATGATATTTTTATAAGATATATTTTTTTACAACGATCCACTTGAATAGAAAATTCAATTCAAAACAGTGTTTTTGTATAATATTTTGCAATATTTTATGTCAGTTGCAATTAAAAAGTACTTAGGAATGACATTTTGCAATTTTTTTAAATGAATTGCAATCAAAAAGTACTTAGACTCCAAGAAAGGCATCACATTTTGCAATTTTTGAAATGAATTGAATGAAATGAATGCATCACGCCCAAAACATATTTTGTCCACACCTTCTCCATCCAAAGAGTAGAATTATATAATACAACCCTATCAATAACCTATTATTTCAACAGATTACAATCTACCTCTCTCTCAACCCTGATATAATATCACATCACAAGCAGATTGCCAAATACAATATCATATCACAAACAGATTGAGTTTAAGGCAGATGTAGTATCTGTTCCCAATGGAATTTTTTCTATGACTATCTATAACTGTCTTGTATTAAATCTGAATCATTCCCAATCTTCAAAATAACAAAGGAATATATTAACACATAACTTGTACCATATTTTGTCAA